GGAGGAATAGTGCCCCATCATTGGTGTCAGTGGGATGAATAGTGCCCAATCATTGGCGTCAGTGGGAGGAATAGAGCCCCATCATTAGTGTCAGTGGGAGGAATAGTGTCCCATCATTAGTGTCAGTGTGGGAGGAATAGTGCCCCATCACGGGTGTCAGTGACACCAATGATGCTTACACTGCTGTGCTGACCCCTGCTCCAGCTGGGTCTTCCTCCCTCTCCCATCCACAGCCAGCATACTTGGCTACAGCAGCACCATCTGCTCTGCCCAGATCCCGGCCGCCGCACGGCACAGACACTTACCATACCGATCAGCTGTCTTCCTTCTCCGCCACTCTCCTCCTCTTCACCAGCTCTGGCCACTCCCTCACTCCAATCAGCTTCCTCGATCCTTGTGCTGCTGCTCGGCTCCTCCTCTCTGCCTGTGTGCTTTCCATGAGCTACAGATCAAGCGGCCAATCACTGGCGAGAAGTCGGAGCTTGCAAAGGGAGGGGCAGGCTGCCATAGACTGCCCAGTGAACCCAGGGGTGTGGTCAGATGAGAGGGTCGGCATGTCATCCCACTCGCATCGCGATCCACCTGGGAAATGAAGAAACCGGACGGACACCCTCTCTACCCCTCCTCCAACAGCATCTTTGTGGACCGGAGCGAAGTGGGACACAGGTAAGACACATAACAGCAGTCCCACATAACAGCAGTCCCTGTCCTAAGTGTCACTTCCATGGGAAAGGGAGAGGAATACCACCTCAGGCAAACACCTTGTTTCCCTCATGGCAAATACGCCCCTGGCTGTCACCATGAATGGGGTTTGGAAGAACCTTTGCCCACAATTTGCTCATAAAGTTCATGGACTTGAGAAGATAGGTAAGGAGTCCAAAGAGGCCTTCAATAACTTAGTTACCCTTAGTACAAAGCTGGAGCTAGATCTGCAAGAGGACGACTTCATTGAACTCCTTGCTGTGCAACATACGAGCTTACTAATGAGGACCTGATGGAATTGGAGGCCCAGCGAAAAGAAGAAGAGAGCCAAGAAGAAGATGTAACTGAAGAACCAAAGAGATTCACAACACAGGAAATGGCAAGGGGATTTTCTTTACTTGAAGAGGCACGGTTTTTGAGGCACAGGACCCTAATGTAGAACAATACACAAAGGTTGCAGCAGCCGTTCAGAATGCCATCCCGTGCTACAAAGTCATCTATGATGAGAAAAAAAAGTTACTACTCAGACATCACTGGATCATTTTTTCCAGAGGGTAGACAGAATTGAATCCATCAAAATATCTGTGTCATCAACATCAGGTGTGAGTGAAATTCCATCTTGCCCTCCATCTCCTATTGTTGATGATCCTTCAGCTCCATCAACATCAGGTATGGGCCAAATTCCATCTTTCCCTCCATCTCCTATTGCTGATGATCCTTCAGCTCCACCATCTCCCACCTCCCCACCCTCCTCCAGTTAGTAATTCTCTTCCACTATATGCCAGTTGTGGTACTGTACTGTACCGTACCACCAATTTAAGGTAACTGTAAAAGTAAAAATAGTTCATTTAACCGCTAGCCTACAGGGCACTTATACCCCCTTCCTGCCAAGGCCAATTTTCAGCTTTCAGCGCTGTCACACTTTGAATGACAATTGCGCGGTCATACAACACTGTACCCATATGACATTTTTATCATTTGTTTGAGACAGATAGAGCTTTCTTTTGGTGGTATTTAATCACCTCTGGATTTTATTTTTTGCTAAACAAACCAAAAATCACTGAAAATGGTGTGCTAATGAGGCTGAAGTGATGGGCACTGATAGGCTGCACTGATGGACACTGATAGGTGGCACTGATGGGCATTGACAGGCATCACTGATGGGCACAGAAAGGCAGCACTCATATATGGCACTGATAGGTGGCACTGATAGGCGGCACTGACTGGCACTGATAGGCGGCACTGATTGGCAGCACTGACTAGCATTGCTAGGTGGCATTGACTGGCACTGATAGCTGACACTGAAAGGCAGCTCAGATAGGCACTGATCTGTGGCATTGATGTGCACTGGTAGGCACTGATATGTGGCATTGATGTGGCACTAGCAAGTGGCATTGATGAGCACTGACAGCTGGCACTGATGGACACTGACAGGTGGCACTGCTGGGGCTACACTGATCATCAGGGCACACTGATCATCAGTGCCCTGATGATCAGTGTAGATATGCGTGGTTAGAATGGCAGGAGGTCATATGACGTCCTCCCAGAACGAGAGAACTGCCTTGCGCCCGTCATTACCTTATATGGTGGGCGGGAGGCGGTTAAAGTATTTTTTTGTGTTGACTTTTTTATGCTTTACATTGTATAGTTTTCCTGTAACGGAACTCGTTTGTAAGTTGGGGACTTACTGTATAATCTTCTCTGTTGAACCTATTCAATATCTCTGTTGCTCCAGTGATGACGTCCTTCAGGACGAAACGCATCAGTGGAGACTTAGCAGTGATGTAATCACACCTGCCGAGGCACAGGATGCCTTGTATTTTCTACGCTCCTTGATTTTAAATGTTTGTAAGTATATGTCTATGGTTTTTGAATAAATTTTTTGTACATACTATACCATGAGCGACTCCCTCCTCGTTTTGTGTGGATCTGCTGATTGATTTGTTCACGTGATTTTGGCTGACGTCATGGTATGAATGGGGTCCAGAGTTATCGTATTAAAGGCTGATCGCCATTTGAGCTGTGAGTGCTGATCTATCCATCTGGTATTGGGCAGTCTCAAAGTGCTGTCAGACCTTGTTTTTAAAGTCTTCGCTTCTGGTAAGAGGCTTATACTTTTCTTGGTGACATGCATGATGGTGAGGATTGGAAGCACAAGCCACTTCATACTGTCATTTGATGCACAAACTGAGCATGATTTTTATCTACACCTTTGGGTTGGTGGACTGCATTACATATATGTTTTTTATATTTATTTATGTCACAATTGAATTATTATTTATTACCATTGTTATGAATTACCTTATTTAAGCCTTATTTAAAAATGTATTTTTATCATTGTTATGAATTATTTCACATTATTGGATTATATTTGTGTAAAATATTGATTCAACATTTTTAACTGTGCAACACATAGTTTACTGTAATCTGCACATGATATTTGTACAACAGTTTATCAAGTGAAACTTTTTTTAGTAAAAAATACACTAAATTTAATAAAATGTGATATTGTGCCGAGTACTTAGGTAACCAAGTTGTCAAGCTTTAAAATTGCATGCACCTGCAAAATAATGAACTTGGAGAGCCTATTTTTTCGCAATGCTTTAAAAGTCCCTACAGGTCCTCACTTTAGTTTACCATGAATAATGGCGTTAGAATTTTTGCCCTCTTTCAGGCATAAGGAGCAATATATAGCATGTGTAGCACAAGCAACACTTTCATACATAGGTGCCCCATATGAATAAGTGAGGGAGGGGTGGGATCAACATTTTTTTGATACATGTGGTTTCTAGAGGGTGTAACTTTATTTTGTAACACTTTTTTTCTATATATCTCTCTTTCATTCCACTTTATATCACATAGGTACAAAATGTCTCCTATTGGATATAATTTCTTTATGACATGTTCTTTTTTAATGAGACAGTAGTTTATTACACCAGAAACCTGAAGTTCTTTAACCACTTGCTGACCAGCCGCAGTACATAGACTACAGCAGGGTGACACCTGCAGGCAAATATCACATGCATGTACATCATTTTGCCTGCTGCTGTTCAGGGGCACACCACATGCCCCCCTGCCACTGCTGTGTCCACCAGGCACAGCGGAATACGGATCCCAGTCCTCCTGTCCCGGTGATCATGTGATCGCAGTGTCAACAAAGCTGCTATGAATTAATTCATAACAGCTGTGTTTTCTAGGCTGTGATTGGCTCACAGCTGTTACATGGTACCTGGACCAATCACAACTTTCTGTGCCATGTGATTAACTGTAGCCAATCACAGCTGTCATGAATGGTTAATCCATTCAAGGCAGTTGAAAACTTTGCTGTTACAATGATCTTCACTGTAACAGCCAACAAAATTCCAGATCACCCACTCAGAGTAGTAAATTGTTTCTATGGTGACAATGAACTACTCTGAAGATAGTATGTAAAAAAAATAAAAGTTAAAAAAAAAAAAAAAAAAAAGGTTTAAAAAATGTAATAATTTTTTTTTTTTTTTTTTTTACATACTGTTACCAGCTTGTGTCCCTGATCACTGCCACACCAGTCATATGATGATGATGTACAGTACTGCACTGTTGACCGTATGTAAAAAAATTTATTCAATTTCTTAATTTTCCATAAAATCGTGACAAAAAATTACAACTTCAAAAAACTCCCAATGCCTCTTGCTAAATACCTCACTGTCTACTTTCCAAAAAGGGTAATTGGGGGGGAATTTGTACTGTCCTAACATTTTAGGACCACAAGAAATGAGATAGGCAATCAGTATATCAGAACGGATCAATTTTCAAATATATATATACATATCTACATAGTTTGTAGATGCTATAACTTTCACGCAAACAAATTAATATACACTTACTGGGATTTTTTTTACCAAAGACATGTAGCAGAATACATTTTGGCCTAAATTTATGATGAAGTTTGATTTTATTGGATATGTTTTATAACAGAAAGTAGAAAATGTTTTTTTTTTTTTAAAAAAACGTCAGTATGTTTCCGTTTATATTGCAAAAAGAAAAAAAACCCAGTGGTGATCAAATGCCACCAAAAGAAAGCTCTATTTGTGTGAAAAGAAATGATAAACATTTCATTTGCATAAAGCATTGCACAACTGCACAATTTCCAGTTAAAGTAGCACAATGCTAAATAGCAAAAAATGGCCTGGTCATGAGAGGGGTAAAATCTTCTGGAGCTCAAGTTGTTAATTCTAGAAGAGATCAGCCTTTTATTTTAGTATACACAAACTGCATTTAGTAGTCATTATCATGCAGTTAATGAAATCTGGCCTTACCTTGCTTCATAACTACAAGATGCAATTTCTGCTAATGACAGCTGTGAGGTATCCAGGTTCACGTCATTCTTCTGCATGGAGACTGGATTGTCCCGTACACAACTACCCTGGTCCACTCCATTTATTTGGGCAGAGTTTACATTGTTCTGTGCAGCTTGCTCTAGTGTGCTGGGGTTTTCTGGAAGGACAAAGCAATTATAAATGTTCAGAAATAAGATTCAGACTCATGTCTACTAAACCAAAATATTCATATGCTGCTGTAAAAAACAAAGCATTTTTAGACACTTTAAAGCGGTAGTAAACCACAAAAAAAAAAAAAAATCTTCTCCCTGCAAGTTAACCGCTTGCCCGCCACCCTATAGTAGGAGGTACTGCTAAAGGCTGTACAAAATCATATATATATATATATATATATATATATATATATATATATATATGTGATTTGCATTTCGGGGTAGGGGGTGGCTAGGGATGTAAATCACTGGATCCAAGCCGGAGATTCCCCGCCGGTGATTTTCGGGCAAAGCTCACACACCCTCTCAACCCTTCCCCTCTCACACAGCTACCCCCTTATCCCCCCTCCCCCTCGACATAACCCACAGGGACTTCGTCGCTGCTCAAACTCTCTCCAACCCCCTTCACCCTCACTCAGCTACCCCCTCATCACCCCTCTCCCACGGCCCCACCACTGCTCTGACCTCCTCTTCCACCCCACCCTACATTCCTCATACTGAAGCTCCCCCCACACTCCGCACCTTTGACCTTACTACCATCGAGGAAGTCTCCAAGATCCTCTCTGATGCCCACCTCACCACCTGCCCCCTCGACCCTATCCCCTCACAACTCCTACGACCTTCCTCCTCCTCCATCCTACGCTCCCTCACCCACATCTTCAATCTCTCCCTCTCCTCAGGCACTTTCCCCTTCCCTCTGAAACATGCACACATCACCCCCATACTTAAAAAGCCCTCCCTGGACCCAATGACCCGAACAACCTCAGACCCATCTCCCTGCTCCCATTTACATCTAAACTCCTCGAGCGCCTAGTCTACACCCGCCTATGCTCTCACCTCAACGACAACAACCTCCTCGATCCCCTACAGTCCGGCTTCCGTCCCCTACACTCCACCGAAACTGCCTTACTCAAACTCTCCAACGACCTGCTAACCGCCAAAGCTAATGGCCACTATTCAGTGCTCCTACTCCTTGACCTCTCTGCGGCCTTCGACACAGTCGACCACCCCCCTCCTCCTCAAAAAACTACACTCCCTCGGCCTCAGAGATTCTGCTCTCTCCTGGCTCTCATCCTACCTGTCACAACGCTCCTTCAGCGTTACCTATAATGGTACCACCTCCCCCTCACTCCCCCTCTCTGTTGGGGTCCCTCAAGGCTCTGTCCTTGGGCCCCTTCTCTTCTCCATCTATACCTCCTCCCTTGGCCAACTCATACACTCTCACGGCTTCAACTACCACCTCTATGCCGACGACACACAAATCTATCTCTCAACCCCCCACCTCACCCCCTTGGTCTCAGCCCGAATCACACACCTACTGAGCGACATATCAGACTGGATGTCGCTCCACTTCCTTAAATTGAACCTCTCCAAAACCGAGTTTCTTGTCTTCCCCCCAGCCCGGACACCACCCCCCATTGATTTCTCCATCACATCCAACAACACTACCATCAAACCCGCCCTGCAGGCCAGAGTACTGGGTGTCATTCTGGACTCCAACCTATCCTTCCAGCCCCAAGTCCAATCTTTAACAAACTCGTGCAGACTCCACCTCCGCAACATCGCCAAAATCCGCACGTTCCTAACCCCAGAAACCACTAAACAGCTCATCCACTCTCTCATCATATCACGACTCGACTACTGCAACTCCCTCCTCACTGGCCTGCCTCACCGCTGGCTATCCCCGCTTCAGTCGATCCTGAATACGGCTGCCAGACTCATTCACCTTTCCAACCGCTCTGTCTCCGCCACCCCCCTCTGCCAATCCCTCCACTGGCTTCCGATTGCGCAACGGATCAAATTCAAAATCCTAACACTGACGTACAAAGCTGTCCACCATACTGCCCCGAACTACATCACTGACCTAATATCCAAGTACCGCCCAGCACGCACACTCCGCTCCTCACAAGACCTCCTTCTCTCTAGTTCCCTGGTCTCCTCCTCCCATGCCCGCCTCCAGGACTTCTCCAGGGTGTCACCCATCCTCTGGAACTCCCTGCCCCAACCCATCAGATTATCACCTACTCTCCTCTCCTTTAGGCACACCCTGAAAACCCATCTCTTCAGGGAAGCCTACCCCACCCCCTGCTAACTTGCCGACCTCCTCCACTCTTCCTACCACTCCATCCCCCACAGCTATCTCCTCCTGTGCCACCACCCCCTCCCTCCTAGATTGTAAGCTCGAAAGAGCAGGGCCCTCGAACCCCTCGTGTATCACATTGTATTGGTATTGTTCTGTCACATGTTCTGTCCCCCTTTGTAATGTACAGCGCTGAGCAAACTATTGGCGCTTTATAAATACTGTATAATAATAATAAAAAGCTGACAGGGGAGGGACCTGTGTGTAAACAACATAGGTCTCTCTCCTACCAGCAAGGACATGCCGCTTTGTATTTCTCACAGCAGAAAAATACAAAGCAGCATGTCTCCCTAGTAAAACACACACAGCACATAATGTAAAACAGCACACACAGTTAACCCTTTGATTGCCCCAGATGTTAACCCCTTCCTGCCCAGTGTCATTAGTACAGTGTCAGTGCTTTTTATTAGCACTAATCACTGTATTAGTGTCATTGGGATGTCAGTGGCAGTTAGTCAGTTCCCACCCAATGTCAGAATGCCCATTGCAGTCCCGCTATAAGTTGCTGATTGCAGCCAATACTAGTATAAAAAAAGAAAAAAAAAATTCCAGTATATATATCACCATTTGTAGGCTCTATAACATTCATGTAAATCAATTAATTTACATGTATTGAAATTTTTGTTTAGCAGACATGTAGCAGAATACATTTTGGCCTAAATTTATGAAGAAATTTTGATTTTTTTTTTACATTCTTTGTTTATAGTGCAAAAAAATAAAAACCAGAGAGGTGATTAAATACCACTAAAAGAAAGCTCTATTTGTGGGGAAAAAAAGGACATACATTTAATTTATGTACAGCGTAGCATGACTGCGCAATTGTCAGTTAAAGTAATGCAGCGCCATATCACAAAAAATGGCCTGGTCAGGAAGGGGGGGGGGGGGGGGGGGGAATCCTCTGGAGCGCAAGTGGTTAAGAGCATAATGTGAATATATGCATCATATACTAGCACATTATAAAGACTTACCTGAAAACGAAGTCCTCCAGCGTAGCACTGTCACGGCTCCCTGGGCTTCCATCCTCACCCGGTCTTCCTTCCAGGTTCCTGGGCTACAGCCATTTGACCGACAGAGCCCTGGTGACATCACTCCCACACATGGGAGTCTCGGCCACAGCACGGCTCTATCAATGGTTGGCACGCTGTCTTTTGAGAGGGCAGTGCGCATACGCCAGAGACATCACCAGCGCTGATAAAGTAAATATCTTCTAAACGATGCATATATATTTACAGTACCTACATGTAAGCCTTAATAAAGGATTACCTGTAGGTAAGACATGAAAAAAAGACCGTACTACCATTATAATCTAAGCACCATCACACAGGTCCACCACAAAAGCCTCCAGCTGGCATATTAAAACCAACGTCCTTAACACAAATGAAAAGTCAACAAATTAAGCTAAAAGTGCATAATCAAAAGGGGGTAGGGAACAGGAAAGGGGAGGGGTAAAAGGTCACCAAGATTAAGGTTATATGTGGGGAATGTCTGAGATATGTGCAATGTATTCTGTATGTTTTATTAGCTTTTGTATATTTAAAATGGTGATTTGAAAAACAAGAATAAAATATTTAAATTAAAAAAAGAAAAAAGTCAACAGACTTTTCATTAAAAGAATCCTATCGATCTAGTAGTCTGGTTTCATGCTTATGAAATTGTTTTAAATACTTTCTGGGGCACAGGCTTGGAGCATGTATACAGAGCAAGGTCTCACATGATTCAAAGTCAGTGGCTCCATGAATACTAAAACCAGAGACAAAGAAACTAGTATGTTTAGGAGATCATTTATGGCCCTGCACTTCTCCCCACCCAGGGAGAGAAAGTGTGATAGTCTGTATGACCTTTTGTGGGTGAAAGTTTCATAACCTAGAGCAGTGGTGGGCAACCTTTTTTTTCAACTGAGCCAAATCTCGCCAAAACCACGATTGAAATTTATTTTGAGAGCCACATTTTTAAGACTGAAAATACATAGGATGGTACACTGTTTTTAGTTTCAATAAGTTTTTTATAGTAATTCATCCCCCATATAGTAATTCATCCCCCATATAGTAATGCATCCCCCATAGTAATTCATCCCCCATATAGTAATTCATCCCCCATAGTAATTCATCCCCCATAGTAATTCATCCCCCATATTAATTCATCCCTCATATAGTAGTAGTAAGTAAGTAGCAAGTAGTAAGTCAAGTCCCCCCTGTGTCAATTCACTTACCTTTGCTCCGCGCGTTCCTCTCGCTGTGCTCCACGCGCCGTTCCGGTCTTCAGGGCGGACTGTGAGAGGAGCCTAGCTCCCCTCACGTTCGTCACGCTGCCCCGCCTACACACATCCTGACAGCCAATCACTAGCTATCAGGATGTGAGTGGCAGCGAGACTGGCCAATCATTGCTGGGCTAGCTGCAGAGTCCTCGGCCACCCGAGAGGAGGGAGGGGAGGGGAGGGGAGTGGCCGCCCGAGAGGAGGGGAGAGGAGGGAGGGGAGGGGAGCGAGCGCCCGGCACACAGAAGAGCCGCATTAAAATGTGTAAAGAGCCGCATGTGGCTCGCGAGCTGCGGCTTGCCGACCACTGACCTAGAGGACAGAACACCAACAAAACCTGGTACAATGGAGCCCAAAGGGGCAATGTGGACAGAATGGAGGAGAATACAGAAATCCTGTACAGAGATGGATAAGAAGCTGGGCCAGGAACATTTGATAGCAGAGACTACAGGCTATAAAACTAGCTGGGATCTACACTAAGGTGGTCATAAACGGGTCAGTTTTTTTTTCATTCAACCCATGGCTTGAACAAAAAAAACTGATCCTCTGAGCCACTGTATTTTGACAGCACGGAGACATTGTATTCTGACAATAGGGAAACTTCCCCACCATCAGAATACATTGATCAGCACTGTCAGCTATAGCCAGCAGAGCTGATCGACCGGTATTTATCTGAAAGGCTGATTGTACAGAAGAGCTGGACAACCAGGGTGCCCATACTGTACATATATCGAAATTCAGCCGGTCCCTGCTGAACCAATTGAATTTCAATCCATGTATGGCCAGCTTTATGTTTAATGTCTGACCTCCTTGGACACTAGGATGAATATAAGGCCCTGCCTTCCTGTTGTTAAGAATACAGCCAAGTAGAAAAGAAGGCACTGTCCATCTTCCAGAGGATAGGACTAACAACCCAAAGGTAGGTGTCCTTAAATGAACAATAAGAGACAAATTTATTTAGCACTACAAATCATTATCACGTGCATGCTGAGTCCTCAGGTACAAAGTCATGTTTTTAAATCCTGTACTAAATGTTTTAAACTTTACAGTGGGTGACGTTACTTCAAGAACACAGAATAAATAACACAGTACAGTTTAAAAATAAATCAAGAGCATTACCCTTGTCTGCTTTGCTTTTCAATATCCTTTTCTGATAGTACTCCATCTCCAACTGAGGATTAGCACCCTCACGGGAAGACACCTTTCCACTTCCTCTATTACTTGTAACAGCAACTGGTCTTCCTGCAGAGTGATGAAAAAAACTTATATTAAACATTTGTACGTACATTTCGTATACACACAGAAGGGTGGGTTTGAACATTTTAGAAAACAGGCCAAATATAATACTGAAGGTTAATGTATTATAAATTTTTTTATAGCTATAAATGGATGTTTTTTTTCCTGTATAAGAGGGGAATCCTACCATAATTATACTATCTAATCCAGACCATTATCAGATAAGCAACAAAATTAAACAGAATGTACGGCAACTACATTTGTTCATTATGGTCATATGGTATATGGTCATTGTACAACTATCTATACCTGTAATTCTCCTTTAAATTAAAAATATTTTAAATAAACAGAATTGTAAACATATTACAAAATAATTATTTCAGAGAAAGTAAAATCAAGATGAAACTAAGACTAGGCTCACACATATGAGGGCATGGGATCATGTTTAAAATGCACATGTTCCTGCTCCCAAAATGTACTACTCTTTAGCAGACAAATAGGGGCACCATTAATTCTTAATGGCATCCACACGCATGGGAAAACACAGTGCGGTTAAAAAAGGTCATGTACATTTTCTGTGCAGCAAAGCAAAATTCAAATTAATGGGCTGCTGTGTCCACGCAACCGCAAGCCGCACCATCCACATAGATGTGAACCTAGAAAAACAAGGGTTCAACAAATTCATCCTGTAACTTTGATAGATTGGTAAAGAACACCAAACATTGCAAATGGAGGAAGAGAGTTTTACCTCCCTATATGGAAATGGTTCTTTACAGTAACAGCTGTGAAGATGCAGAATAGTCTTTCACAGGTTTTAGCTAATTCAGAAAATTGTTTTTAAAACAGAAGAAAACAGAAAACATAAATCCGATCCTCCCCTTCTTCACAGTCCCCAATCCATCTGATATAGTACAGAGCAGCAGTGGCAAGTCTGTACATGTTCTGCTTAGTGTGTATTTTTTTTAGGGAGGGTGCATGTGATCAGCACAGCGCCAATCAGCACTCTCCATACAGAGGGTCAGGAGTCATGCAGCCTCATAGGATAGTCAAAGGAGAATGAAAACTACTTCTATAAGATTAACCAGTGCTCGGTTGGACACTGATAGAAGTCACAAGACTGCTATACAATGCTGATGATAAAAGTATTTAGAAGTTTATATTTACTAAAATAATTGCATTTTCATGTTCTGTGTACTTTTGGAGATCAGATATAGTGAATGCAGGGCAATGGGTTTAGTAACACTTTAATAAGTATTTAAATTTTTGCTCCAAAAAAATTTATCTATTATGTAAAATCTTCATGAAAACCATTTTATATATTTTTTATATATTTAAAACCGTGTATTGATAATAATATTTATTTTTATTCTGTATCCCAAAGGCTGTTTTTTTTGTACATGTGACCAGCAGCAGAGGACTAGAAGCTCCTCCTGCCACTGTTTCCCTGTATACAGGTTGTGAAAGAGCTGGGTCACATGACAGCTGTATATCGATAAGGAAAAATAATTACACTGTCATCTACATACAGAAAGAGCAGTGATAATGTAAGTTAAACAATGTGTGTTTAGTATCACTTTAAAGAATTTTATATAGTAGCTAAATTATATTTGGAGCAAAACTAACAATTTATTAATATTGTACAGCAGCGCAATTAATTTCAGTTTATCTAATTTTGGATTGTTGTACGTTGATTTTTGGGTATATACCGTATATTGCAGCAGTGGATTTTGGATTTATTTTGGGTGTTACACTCTGAAATTATTTTTTCCATAAGAGCAGAGTAAGGGAGATTAACTTTTCATTAAATTGAGGACAATCTAACATTTTCTGAATCAATCTGTGTGCGAACTAGACAGATGTTCTAACAAAAATTCAAGATTTCAGTATAAAATGTAGCAGTGTGTCAAGTTGTATGTGAACTACCTTACCATTAATATGAATTCAGCAGATGCTGTACATCTTCTGTAAAAGATCTGAAGAAGGCTTTCTCCTGCACTCTAGTATTTGACAAAGTTAAGCAATAAATCTCTTATCTGCACTCATGTGACCATCAGTAATGACTATTGTGCACATTGACATTCTACTCAGTACACAAGCAAGGCACACTAGATTCGATTTGAGCCTATTAAAATGCGAAAATTGTTCTTGCTGTGCTTGTAACCAAACATGATTCATAAAATCTTTTTTTTTTTTATTCATGTATCTGTAAGATATCTAACATGTTTAGACAGTCAATGCAGTCATGCCATTTAAACAGAAAGCAAAAAAAATAACAAGTATAGGTCTCTGCCCTGACTTGACTGATTTCTGGCCATCAGCCATTAGCTTACTCTAAGAAATGCACATAAAAATAACAATGTAATGTAGCCAGAGCACCTATAAAATTATAGAGTACAGCTTATAGCACCAATTCGCCCTGTTGCCATTAAATACCTCACTTCTACAGATTTTTGTAACGGTGAAGTAGAAACGAAAAAGCAGAAGTCAAGCCAAAATAAAAACCACACAAGATAAAAAAAAAAAAAAATGGCCCATTAAAATAAAGAACACTATCATCTTTTGCTGCAATATCCAGCTTCAATCCAGTGATTTTACCTACAGTAATTTTTTCTGATGCTGTATGCCCTTAATCTGATGGGCAGCATCATTCAACTAATTTCCTCTGAGACCAGGTGCCAGCCAGTGACTGGACACTGAAAGGAGAAGCAGCACAGTGATGAGCTAATTTTTATGCTTTCTGTCAGAGTGCTTTTTGGCAGCGCATGAACTAATTGGCTACTAGTACTCCTCTCGCATTACAGTTCAGCAATCCAGGACTGCAAGAGGATAATACCAAGTCAAATTCAGCTACTTACACTTCTTGCATTTAATAGTACATTTAATGCTGCATTAAGGTAATTTAGGCAGTAGGAGTGCATAGGCTCCAGAACCCGATTTTTAAACGGAGCATGGGCTAAGAAGGGAAGGAGGGACTCATTCTCAGAGGGTAGAAGCACCTGGACGGTAGCAGGAGGAAGAGCCCCAAGGAGGGATATTGCAGTAAGAATTGGAAAAAAAGGGCTTCCCTTGGTCTCTCCAGGTTCCCATGGAGACATAGCAAAGTCATAGATGTCATACCTGACCCCCAACTCATAAGGAGATTAGTTGAAAAATGTTGTTGTCCTGGTTGGCAAAGCAGAACTTCAGGCTATCTTGTCCCCAAGTGCAAGGAAGTCCACCTGCTGCTAAAGTGGACAGAAAAAACCCCGAATTGGATCTTATGAGCCCCCCCTCCCAGAAGGGAATCCCTCTATTTACAAGGATAGCTCTGTATGCCAGTGAGGTCCTATACAAGTCCCATCAGGTAACAAAGAGAATACCGGTACGTTGCAAAGTGTTAAGCAATAGCAAAAAGGGTGTGAAAAATGGACAGGGATCTATAGGAATCTACATGAAATGCCAGACCTATGGCCAGGGCAAGGTATAAAGCGTGCCTAGCTTACAAGGCATAGCTGTTCTCCCAAAGATTACCAAGCAGAAGGAAAATCTTGTGCCCAAATGAGGATGCACAGGCAGGTGTGAAAAAGATGTATATACTGTACAGTATAGTACATACATGTATTTCATTACATATCCTTTGTCCACTGCACCTAATGTCCTTGGTCCTTGTCCTGCCAATGTACAGATTATAATTGTAATATTAATCATTTGAAGACCAGCCCTATTCTGACACTTATTGTTTACATGTAAAACAGTATTTTTTTCCTAGAAAGTTACTTAGAACCCCCCAACATTATATATTTTGTAAGCAGAGGCGCTAGAGAATAAAATGGTGGGTTTTTCAAATGCAATTTTTTTGCAAAAATACTCTTTAATGAATTTTAATGCACAAAAATGATGATGTTACACCAAGTAAATAGATACCGAACATGCCACACTTTAAAACTGTGTACGCTTGTGGAATAGAGCCAAACTATAGTACCTAAAAATATCCATAGGCAATGCTTTAAAAGCCTTTACAGGTTACCAGTTTAGAGTTACACAGGAGGTCTGTTGCTAGAACTATTGCTCTAGTTCTGACACTTGTGGCAATACTTCACATATGTGGTGTGATCACTATTTACTTGTGCATACAGTCACTTTATGACTTTATTATTTATTTTATTTGAATTGTTTTATTTTTACACTGTCCCGTTAATTTTTTTAAACCACTTTTATTGCTATCGCATGGAATGTAAACATCCTTTGTGATAGCAAAAAAAACAATGACAGGTCCTCTTTATTGAGATCTCTCTTAAGAGGTCCTCTCTTATTGAGATATTCAGATCTCTCCTCTGCCCTCAAAAGCATCAGATTAGACCAAGATTGGTCTGATGCGATGCTTTCCCAAGCCAGTAATGGCTTGTAAACAAAAGGCATAAACCAGAAATGACAAAATACTCGTCACTTTGGATTCTATTACCATAGTGTGGAACCGCCAGCTCTTCCACCGCCTGTGACAGAAATCCAGAGCTAAATAGCCTTTAGGATTACTTTTACATAAAAGAAAATCACCTGCTGAAAAAAAAAACCCAGTTTTTAAAGTGGTTAATGTACGTTGTAATACCTACATAAGCTGATGGTTATGAAGGAAAAAAGAAAATGACAACTCAAATGCACTGAATAAACAGAACAGTTATTTGGAAATCTGCTCAGTGTAGTTTTTTGTGTCTGTTTCCTAGATAAGATTTATTGTCATTGCAAACAAAAGTATACAATTAAATACTGCAGTACCTACTAATTTGGAATCACTGATCAATATTTTTATAGGAGTTGCCCATCTATAAAATTTCCAAGACAGGAGTATCTAATGTAAGGATGGAATGCGGGTGGTAAGGATATTCGGAAATTGCCTGTCCAAGCTGTCATGCATCCAAAGGGCCAATGAAGATATCTAAGTACGGTAGGCAAGTGCCAAAAGGTGATGTGCACTGTACATGGGGAGGCAGGGAAGGACAAATTAAATCCCTTACCCTGGAAATGGCAATTGCAGCTGCGGAACAGATGAGAAAAATAACATGCTGGCTCAGGACAAGGTCTGAAGGTCAAGCCAAGAAAGCATATCATTACAGAACAGGGTGGTCAGGTTCCAGGTTGTGTAAAAACCTCATCATGTAGAGGGGAGTAGGAACCAGTCACCTGAAACAAAAGAAATACCCATGTGCTCTGTTCAGGAGAGTCCTTATAAGAGAAAAAAACATCTTATGCAAGGCGATGAATAGTAGAAGGTCTCAGGATTTTTTTTTTTTTTTTATAAATCGGACATAGCCAAGATTGTCATTCTGAAGAGGGTGTCCGAGATGTTAGTACTTATTTGTCAGAAACAAAAAAAACTCTCCCATAATAGGGTGGATTTACTAAAGGCAAATAAACTTAACACCTAGCAAGTACAGTTGCTCCAGAGCTTCACTTTCACAAAGAATATAAATCACATGAAAAAAATAAGCATTTTTGCTTGCACATGACTGGATGATAGAAGTCAGCAGAGCTTCCCCTCATTTACTAACCACTAGCTGCCAAAGCCAATTCTGACAATTATCTCATACATGTAAGAATTCAGCATTCTTTTTTCATTACTAGAAAATTACTTAGAACCCCCAAACATTAAATATTTTCTAAAAGCAAAGGCCTGGAAAGAAAAAAAAAGTTGGTTGTTGCAATTTGCAGCATTTTTTCAAATGTATTTTTTTGGGGAAAAAATATACTTTAATGAATTTTTAATGCACAAAAACACTATATAATAACAAAATTGTTTGGTAAAATATAAAAGATGAATGTTACACCGATTAACCACTTCAAGTCCAGACAATTTCACCCCCTTCCAGTCTAGGCCAATTTTCAGCGCTATCACACTTTGAATGACAATTGCGTGGTCATGCAACACTGTACCCATATGAATTTTTTAGCATTTTTTTTTTGACGAATAAAAAACGTTATTTTGGTGGTATTTATTCACCACTGGGATTTTAATTTTTTTGCTATATAAATGAAAAAGTCCAAAAAGTTTGAAAAAAAAGTGTTTTTCTGATAAAATTTTGCAAATAAATAATCTTTCTTAATAAATCTTGACCAAAATGTATTCATCTATCTTTTTAGTAAAAAAATAAAACAAAATTAGTTTATATCCAAAAATGATATTTTTTTTTACATTTTTATGTTTTGTTTTTTTTTAAATACGGTCACCCTAGCAGTACAGTGTCACCATAGTGACACTGTACTGCTTGTGAGGGGTGATGATTTTTTTTTTTTCTTTTTTTACACTGATTGCTTTTACACCCTGGCTGTAAAAGCAATTATTTTTCCTTTGCTCTGGCTGCATTCTTGCAGCCATTGAGAAATACTGTGAGAGCTGTGATTGGTCACAGCTTGTCACATGGTACAAGGCTGTTGTGAATAGACTTGCACCATGTGACCTCTGTGATCATTCACAGATTTCACAAGTAGTAAGCAATGATGTCAGGAAGTGACATCTTGTTTACTACTATTCATGTGATCACTGATTGGCCAATCAGTGATCACAAGAATCAGGAACTCACACAGAGGTCCCGTACAGTGATCGGTGTTGCGTGCACCCAGGGAGCGCGCACAGGTAATGGATGCAGGGGGACGTTAGGAAACGTCCATCCGCTCCGGCAGCGCTCCCGTCTGGCCATTTATGTACATGGGCCGGTCGAGAAGAGGTTAGATAGATACATAAAATTTCATGCTTTAAAATTGCATACGCCTGTGGAAAGGAGACAAACTACGGTACTTAACAATCTCTATAGGCGACACTTTGAAAGCCTTTCCAGGTTACTAGTTTAGAGTTACACAGGAGGTATGCTGCTAAAATGATTGCTCTATGTTTGTGGTGATACCTTACATGTGTGCTGTGATCACCTTTCACATATGCATACAGGACCTACATATGCATTCGCCCTTGTGCATGAACACGGGAGCACTTTACATTTTTAAATAATTTTTTACACTCTTTTTAACAAAAAATTGATCAAGTTTATTGCTATCACAAGGCATGAACAACATCTCTTGTGATAGCATGGGGACTCGCAGGTACTTTTTACTGAGACATCTGGGGTGTATTACACCCCAGATGTCTCCTATGACCTCAAAAGCATCTAGTCAAAGCAAGATCAGTTTAATCAGATGCTGTACAGGCCAGGAATAGTTTTTAAAGAACAAACGTAAACTGTTTATGACAAAATACTTGTCGCTTCCGGTTTCATAGACCATAAAGACAATTGTGGAAGGTAAATTCCTCCCTCATTTCTGTGGTAAGCAGGCGCGACTGCCGGTTTCACTCCCATGCTCCCCAGTGGAACAGCAGAACCCGGGACAGAAGCCGCGGGGAATGTACCACATGTAAAAGTGAGCCGTGCCGCTCGCATCACTTTTACATAACAAAATATTGCCGGTTAAAACAAAAAGAAACAAACATACAGGGTCATGACACCCCATTTCCTTCATAGAAGGAGCAAACTATTGGCATGAGGAAACCTTTTAAGCAGCTCTGGTGAGCTTAGAAAAGGAATGTTTTCCCTGTAGCTCTAGTCTATCAGTTCCATTGTGACTATATTATGGCTGGCAAACACAAGCCAGCTGTACAGCAGGAACATGGTGTGCAGTGGCAGGTGAGTAACGACGCTGAGAGGTGGCAAAGTGTTGGCGGAGATCTGGGGAAAGTTGAGTTGCCAGGAGGTGAGCTATGGGTAGGGATGGTTAACTGGGGGGAGTGGAGGTGAACTAATAGGAGGTTAATTAATTAAAGTTCTTCCCTGTAATCCTGGTACTTCAGTTCCATTGTGGCTGTATTATAGCTGGCAAACACTAGCCAGTTGTACAGCAGGAACATGGTGTGCAGTGCAGGTGAGTAACGACGTTGAGGGGTTGCAAAGTGTTGGCGGAGGTCTGGGGAAAGTTGAGTTGCCATGAGGTGAGCTATGGGTAGGGGTGGTTAACTGGGGGGAGGGGAGGTGAACTAAAAGGAGGTGAATTGTGAGGAGGTAAGCTGTAGGGAGGGGTGGTAAAAATGTCATTAGCTGGCCTATAAGTAGGGAGTGTGTGTTACTGGGATGTGAGAATGGTGGCCGGGGTGGGTGACATGAAATCTGAAATAGGAAACACACTAGATCTTCTTGTTTCTGGTTGATGGCCCTCTTCCCCACCACCGTTTAACCCCTTTTACCTCTTCCCTTCTTACCTTTCAAATCTGGTCGATGACGTATGCCAACAGATACAAAAAAGCAATCCATATCTACATGAATAATACAGTTCTGGCACTTTAGAGGGCTAGAAGCACACGCACCTGATGACAAAACAGAGAAGAGTAATGTTAATAGGTTGACAGCCACAGCTGTGCATGTTCTGTAGTCTGAGGAGGATCTCTTCCCTCCAATCAGGGCTCAGAGTTTTTCCTTTTTGTGTGAATTTGCACCCCCTTGTTTGTGCTGCTGAAAGATGCTGACAGATTCTGTGTAAATTCTGTATGTTGTAGAAGGCTCCAGGACAGAGGGCTGCAGATAGACAGGTACAGCTTATGTAGGAGGATTTGTTTAATTTCTGTGTATCACCTGAGGCTAGTCATTTACCTGGGTATATGCAAGGGTTTACAACCACTTTAAATAAAAGAGGCTAATATACTAAAGTGGTTCTAAACACTAAAGGTTTTTTTTACCTTAAAGTACTCTCTGCATTAAAGTAAAAAAAAACCTGCACTGCCTGCCTCCCCCTCCCTAACACTTACCCGAGTCCTTTATTGATCCAGCGCTGTGTACAGCTGCAAGTCTTCTCTTCCCTCTTCCTGGTCCAACAGGTTTTGCTGATATCAAATCAAATCCAGTGAGGAGGGAGTGGGGCTGGACCAACAGTTTGCTCTGGGGGCAGACACAGAAAAGAAGGAGCTAAGAGCACCAGCAGGGACCCCAGAAAAGGAGGTTTGGGGTTGCTCTGTGCAATACCAAATGCTTTCCTGGGTCCAATCTCGATCCAGTGTTGTACCCAAGGGCAGCCGCGCTGCTCTTGGTTTCTCCCTTCTCACTGGACTCAGTGAGAGCAGCAGGAGTCATTGGCTCATGCTACTGTCAATCAAACTTAGTGACGAGGAAGCAGGGGGAAGGTCTACAGACACACGCAACCCAGCTTGGGATTGAACCCACGTGTGCCATAATAGGAAGTGGCTTCCTGTGGTGGCACACGGAGAAGAAAAGGAGCCAAGAGCACAGACAGGGGACCCCAAAAGAGGTAGAGTAGGGCTGCTCTGTGCAAAATCATTGATCCTTTTTTTTCCACGAATAGAGCTTTCTATTAAACATGTCCAGTAAAAATGTGGACGTTTTTCCAGGCTTTGAATAAATTGGAGAAAGTCCCAGATTCTTTCATTAGATTTTGGTGTCCCTACTAGGGAACAGGCTGCTTTTCCTCTAGTTAGAATCTGCACTATTACTGGCCTCTAGTAAGTTACAAATTCCACACATCCACGCTCATTATCCCTGTGGGACAACCCGGACCTCCCCGAATTGCTTACACTTCCTGACTTCCGCTTATGGATCAATAGGGGGATTTTGTATGTTTCTCAGGTGTTCACTGGTGCTGGTGTCAAATCCTTTAAGGACCTCATAATGGAACATAACCTCCCCAATTTCATGTTTTTTTTTTGTTATCTCAAGCTCCGCCATGCACTGCGTGCCCAATTCGGTGACTCCAATTTGCAGCTCGACTCTATCTCTCTCATGGACGTGATTTTGGGTACGGAGTCCAAAAAACTTACATCTACATTTTATAATGCTATACTTTTAACTTCTGCATCAACTTTGGCATATCGACTTAAAACCCACTGGGAGGTGGACGTGTGGTAGCTGGATGATGAAATGTGGGAGGAGGTGCTGTCCTCAACCAAGACAAGTCTCCCCAAAACTGTCAGACCACCTCATTCAGCTATATATAATACATAGAACTTATTTAACAACCATTTGGTTGTCTAAATATAGACCACAGCATAGTCCGCTTTGTCCTAAGTGTGGTGATCCTAATAGTACTTTTTTTCATTTAATATGGTCTTGTCCTCTAATTCAGGGCTACTGGCCTCAGGTGGTCCGATTTCTCCATGATAAAATGAGTTCTCCCCTCACCCTCTGCCCCAAGCAGTGTTTACTCAGTCTTCTCCTTAGTTCGGAAACTGACCAGTTTCAAACTCTTTTTCTTCAAGAAACTTTGTTTGTGGCTAGATTATTGAACGCTCGAACGTGGCTGCAGGCGTTGCCGCCAACGTTTTCACAGTGGGTTGCTGCAAAAAACAGCACCTTACTAAATAAGAAAGTTATTTATATACATAGAGGAAGCCCTGCTAAATACCATAAAGTTTGGGATAAATGGCTTGATTCCATGATCACCAGTGATGAGGAGGAGGAAGAGGAATGATCATTTCCCGTATGACTATTATACTAGATGTTATTATGTTAGCCTTCCTTTCTTTGCCTGCGGTAAAGGATTTATTATCTGTGTATCGCCATACTCTTTGTTAACCGTTTAGTGTTTGTTTTACTTGGATCTGTAATGTGACTGCATGTCTTCTCCTCTTAAAGAGTTTGCTTGATTAAAAAAAAAACCATGTCCAGTTAAAAAAACATAAAAAAATTAATTTCCTCATAAATTAAGGCCAATATGTATTCTGCTACACGTCTTTGAAGAAAAAAAAAAAAAACCCAACACGTGTAAATTCATTGGTTTACGTTTAAGTTATAGCGTTTACAAGTGGCGGTGTATATATACTGTGCTTTTAAAAGTAAAAAAAAATACATTGATCATACAATGAAAGACAAACAATGCAGCCTATGTTTATTTTAGCTTTTGGAGTGAATTTCTTTTTTGAGCAACAAAGCAGTAAAAAGTGCTTGATGAGCCTCAAAAAAAGAACTCCCTTTAGCTCTTGTATGCAATTAGCTTCACTTACAAGATACCTACTGCTACCTTACAGGTATCTTGTGAGAACAACCAACAAAAGCAAAAAAGCTTTGTAGCTGCAGCAGGGTTGGAAAATAATTTGCAAAATCCAAATTTAGCATACCAGACCTTTTACAATGTATACATACCCGTTTTCATCTTTTTTAATCTCTCCCGACCAGAGAAAATGCCATTACTTTGAGTTTGCAGATCCCGGACAAATTCTGTGAACTCACACTTCCATGTTGCTATATGATGAAGTCGAGAATGAGAATAAAAGTCTGAAATAAAATTAGAGTCAGCCGTTTTAGGCAGCTGTGGAGAGGCCGCCTTGGTAGGCAAATGCATGGTAGTGCTTTTTGTGCTTGAAGGCCCCTGGAGAGAATGGTGAGCACCATTGAGTTTATTGTTATTGTGCAAATATGAGAATGAGGTTGAGTTTAACGCAGTTCTGTGTGGGTCACATGGAACACCTGTGTGCCCACTGTTTGGTTGTAACTGCTCTAAAGTGCAGTCTGTAGTGCCTGCGCTAGGCTTTTCCTGCTGCTGCAATAAGTGAAGTCTACTTGTGAAAGAGTTACTTGATTGCACTGAGACATCCAGTGACTTTAAGGCACCATTAGAGCTACAGCTACGTCCATTAAAAACATCCGTGTTGCCTTTGTGGTTCTGTATTCCATTAACCTGGGGATCACAAGATTTTTCTTCCAGATCCCAAAGATCAAAATCCTCTTTTCCTTGTTCAAAGTTTTCTTCATCCTCTTCTTCTTCCAATTCATCCACTCCATTAAGTTGATCAGTTTTGTCTACTAAAAGATTTCTAGAGTGGGGAAACAATTGAGAATTTAAAATGATAACATTTACATATTAGAACTGCAAAATGGTATTATTCTTCAGTTAATAACAAAGTGGACATGTTCACTATTATATGTGAATCTCTTTAAATATCAATTATGCTGTCAGCTAATACACAATTTTGTATAGTTGCATATGTTAAAAAAATGTCCATCAAGATCAATAACAATAAATAGCTTATAGATGCTATTTAAAAATCGGGTAACACTCAGTTGGTAATTTTAAACATCTGTATGATTTTACCACATGTAAATAAAAAATCATATTTACAGTATCTCCTCCATTAAACATTAATGCATCTCTATATTCTCACATTCAGATATAACACATGAAGTAGGATAAAAACAAAAAGGGATAAATCCAGATGATCCTATGCTTCTAACATATCGCACTATGAGAAATTCTCTATCTCAACTTAATTACCCTACTCCTCCACACTTCTATTCTTCTCTCCCTCCTCGCCCACTCCACATTCCCCTTCTCCATGAATATCACATCCCCAGCAGCCAATTTTTCAAGGCATCGATATCTCTTCCACCTACAGAAGTCCCAACTACTCCAACCCAGACCATGCTCCATTGTCCTGCATTCTCTTTTTCCTCTTAAAATGTGCCTAACCAAAACTCATTAAAGTGTTACTAAACCCCAGACCCTGCATTCACTATATCTGGTCTCACACAGTACACACAACATGGAAGTGCAATTATTTTAGTAAATATAAACTGCTAAATACCTTTTCTCATCAGAAGTTAGAGCAGTCTTGAGACTTCTATCAGTATCAAGCAGAGCACTGGTTACAGCTTGTGGGAAGAGTTTTCTTTCTGCTTTGCTTTTTACACAGTGCAGAGGATTAACCCCTTAGGTTCCACAGTGAGTATAACAAGCATGCTTTACTGCATATACAGACTGATTTTACGATTGTGGGTTTAGTAACACTTTAAGTGTAAGTATGTGTATATTCATTGTGAGGGGAAAAAGAGGTGAGGTATAAAGGAATGGGGAGTGAATGGAAGGAGTGATTAGAGGAAAAGAGAAAGCAAAAACCTACTCCCTTGCTTCCTCCTCTTACTCTCTATAAACAGTGAATTGTGTGTTTATTAATCATTTAGTGACTCTGTGAATTCACAATACCTGGGGTTATTACCTTATTAAATATTACCATCATTAGTTACTTCAATAGGAGGATTATTGAAGTAAGGCAAACCTATGTCTGTCTAAGGGGAAGAGGGGACGAATAAACCTGCTAAACCACTGTCCTAGCCAATGGGACACCTAACCTATGTCTATTATTCTTAAACTTCCTTATCTAAAACTTCTCTCACATCCTACCTAGTGTTAAGCCAGCCATGCATAGATCACAATTCGATCCATGTAAGGGTTAGCTGTTTGTATACTAGTCGATATATCGATCAACTTGTGTACAACCAGCCTGTCAGGTTTTTAGCGAATGACCAGTGCAAAACTGATCATTGCATTCTGCTGGCCGGGCTGAAAAGGGAGGGGGGGGGGGGGGGGGTGTGCAGGGGGTTCAAATACAAAAGCTGAGCATGAGTGATTCCCCCATCCACATCAAATGTGTGCATGGGGGAACTGGTTCATGCATCAAGTATGGCCTGCCTTGACCTCCCTTCTATCTATTTCTTCTTATTTAGAGTGGTTTTAAAGGAAAGACATTTCTTACTATAATGAATTTGCTGCATTAGGTAAACAGTCCCAGTAGTTGTATTGGTCCTCACCTCCATAAATACAGCGGGGAAAATAATTATTTGGCCCCCTGCAGATTTTGTAAGTTTGCCCACTTACAAAGAAATTAAGGGTCCATAATTTTTATCATAAGTGTAATTTAAATGACAAAGACAGACTATCAACCAAAAATTCAAAAACACATGATACCAATGTTATAAACTGAGTTACAGTTCAGTGAGTAAAAAATAACTATTTGATCTCCTACCAGCTCATGTAGTGCACAACTTAGTCCTGTCAATTTAAGAAGGTGCTCCTAACAACAACTCGTTATGTGTATAAAAGACACCTGTTCACAGAATCTCTTTCTTCCAGTCAAACCTCCCCACCATGGGCAAGACTAAAGAGCTGTCAAAGGATATCAGGGACAAGATTGTAGACCTGCACAAGGCTGGAATGGGCTACAAGACCATCAGCAAGAAGCTTGGTGAGAAAGAGACAACTTTTGGAGCAATTATTTGTAAATGGAAGAAATACAAAATAACCATCAATCTCCTTTGGTCTGGAGCTCCATGCAAGGGCTGTACTTAGAACCAGCAAACACAAATGCTTTTGCGCTTGGGGATAGACGTGATGCAGGTTGCAACCACACTAAGAATGTCCTGGAACATGCACACCTTGCTGCCCTCAAATAGACCGGGGGAATCCAAATATACTGAATGAGGAAAGAACAAACAGAGGGCGCACAGGCCTAGTGCATTACCATAAAAAATGTTTAATAAGAAATAAAGTGGGTGCTGCACTCACAAAACGACAATAAAGTCAAGGCACATCATAAAAGAACAGCTGGGTCAACACCGCGCTGAGTAACAGTCCACAATAGGGAGTGTTGACATCCAATAGGCTGATGCGTTTCAAGGACTTGCCTCTTCCTCAGAGCCAACTGACCAAATGTCTGCTCCCTCTTTTATATGCTCATTACTAGTTAAACCAAAGGTCACATGGGCCGTCCTGGACACTCCCTTATGCAGGTGGAGGAGTCACAAGGGCAATTGACATAGTATAAGTAAACACAAAAGATCTATAAAAATATATAATATATATGTATAAATAAAACCATTGAAACTAGTGATAATCATAAAATCATATGAACCATAAGAAGTGTGCAAATGAAAAAATAAATAAGTAGAAAGTTACACATATATATATATATATATATATATATATATATATATTAAAACTCCTTCCCTGGTGATGCATTAAATCCATGTCCCATGGTTGTCTATGGCAAGCAGAGCACTAGGCAGCTTCGTAGTGTCATTCATCCATCCATCCATTTATTTAAATGAGAGTAGTGCAGTGCATCACCAGGGAAGGAGTTTTAATATATATATATATATGTGTAACTTTCTACTTATTTATTTTTCATTTGCACACTTCTTATGGTTCATATGATTTTATGATTGTCACTAGTTTCAATGGTTTTATTTATACATATATATTATATATTTTTATAAATCTTTTGTGTTTACTTACACTATGTCAATTGCCCCTGTGACTCCTCCACCTGCATAGGGGAGTGTCCAAGACGGCCCATGTGACCTTTGGTTCAACTAGTAGTGAGCATATAAAAGAGGGAGCAGACATTTGGTCAGTTGGCTCTGAGGAAGAGGCAAGTCCTCGAAACGCATCAGCCTATTGGATGTCTACACTCCCTATTGCGAACAGTTACTCAGCACTGTGTTGACCCAGCTGTTCTTTTATGATGTGCCTTGACTTTATTGTCGTTTGTGAGTACAACACCCACTTTATTTCTTATTAACATTTTTTATGGTAATGCACTAGGCCTGTGCGCCCTCTGTTTGTTCTTTCCTCCTTCAGTATATTAGGGCTGTACTTACCGGAGTCCTTTTCTCGATCCAGCACTTTGCCAGTCTGCAGCAGCGCTCTCCCTGCTCTCACAGGACACAGAGGCAGCAGCAGAAAGCTCCTGTTGTTGTCAATCAAATCCTAAAAGCAGGGTTCAAGCCAGCTGGCTTGCTATGGGGGAGAAGCAGAGAGCACCGGCAATGTGCAATGGTATTAGGTAGGTAGCAGGTATGTATAGCATGTTTATTATGTTAGCCTTTATAACCACTCTAAGTGTCCACCCTCAATGTTTCTTTAATATATTTACATTTTTTCCTGAATCTTTTTCATCAGACCACTTATCTTAGCTTATCTAACTTCGCTACTACCACTTGTGAATACAGCATATACTAAGGACTGTTTAACCAATTCCTGTCCGGACACTTTTACCCCCTTCCTGTCCAGGGCAATTTTCCTTTCAGCGCTATCACACTTTGAATGACAATTGCGCGGTCATGCAATACTGTACCCATATGAATTTTTTACCATTTTTTTGAGACAGATAAAGCTTTATTTTTGGTGGTATTTATTCACGCTGGGATTTTTATTTTTTTTTTACTATGTAAATGAAAAAGTCCAAAAATTTTGAAAAAAAGTGTTTTTTTTTATAAAATTTTGCAAATAAATAATATTTCATCCTAAATCTTGGCCAAAATTTATTCCGTTATTTTTTTAGTAAAAAAAAAAAAAAATCCAAATTAGTTTATAACCAAACATTATAATTTTTAAACATTTTCTTTTTACATTTTTATTTTATTTTTTTTTATATATTTTTTTTTTTATTTTTATTTTTTATTTTTACATACTGTCACCCTAGCAGTACAGTGTCACCATGGTGACACTGTACTACTTGTGGGGGGTGATGAAGATTTTTTTTTTTTTTTTTTTACACTGATTGCTTTTACACCCATATAGGATATAAAAGCAATCATTTCTCTTTCTCTCTGTCTGCATTCTTGCAGTCATTGAGAAATACTGAGTGAGCTGTGATTGGTCACAGCTTGTCACATGGCACAAGGCTGTTGTGAATAGCCTTGTACCATGTGACCTCTGTGATCATTCACAGATTTTCACACGTAGTAAGCAATGATGTCACAAGTGACATCTTGCTTACTACTTTGCATGTGATCACTGATTCGCCAATCAGTGATCACATGACCGGGACCTCGTACAGGTCCCGTCCGATGATCGGTGTTTCACTGTGTCCGGAGGACACAGCGGACACCGGATCGCGGTGTGTTCCTAGGGAGCGCGCACAGCTAGAAAAGGCGGGTGCCGTTTAGGAACGGCAACCCGACCTTGGACTGCCACCGCCCTGCCGTTTATAAACAGCAGGCGGACGGCAAGAGGTTAAAATCAACCCATCCCTTCCAAACCCTATAAAACGTATCATGAGTCTCTATGGCTATATAAAAGACCTTCCAAAAGACAGGTCTGGTCTACTTTTCATTAGTCACTCAATGATAGTTGCTAGTTTATCTGAACTCCAATATTTATTTATCAATGCTTTAAGTGCATCTAGTGGTATTATTGAACTCCTGTATTTCCCTCTTGAGCTGAGTTCTAACACACAGTTGTTGACATTACTCACACTTTATGGTTGAAATCTTGACTGACATTCCTTGACCCGGAGTGGAAATTCTCTGTCCTGCATTTAAATGTGAAGTCCAGGCCTTTCTGAACACTAGACTGCTTTGTGTAAAGCTGGTAGGGTACAAAGGAAAGGAGACGACCAGCTTTTATGCTGTAAAAAACATAAGAGTATAAAAAAAAAATCACTTTTTTTCTAAATATTAGTCAACAAATATTAATGTATATTAGACAAGTTTCTAAGTCTGTGCAAGTGATTTTTCAATAAAGGCCTTACACATACCAATTAAATCCAACACTCTCCTTGTTATTTACTCTGACATTTTATAACAGATAGCTGTAGCTATGGCTTTTAAACTGGGAGAGGAGACTGATGTACAGATCAGATTGGCATTCACAAAGGGGATGGATCAACCGCCCAATGATACAACTGAGACAATTAAGGGTGAAGTTTAAAAATCACAACAAACTCAGTATCAAATATCTAAATAAGAAATGGGACATTTTGTCTCTGGAATCATATACTGAACAAAGTATGATTCCAAGAGGCCTCCGTGAGAGGATGGTCCCAGCGGAACACCTCCACACTGAGCGCTTCTTGGAAAGATAGAAATCTTGTCTCCAAAGAGGTATAGCGGTCATGCGCCTTATTGTAAAGGAAAAGAAATTCCAACTTGAGGAACTACAGAAACAAATTGAGGAGAGTGTTGGGAGAGCTTGATCTTTTTAAAGATGAACTGGAATGTGAAAGGCAATATGAATTATTAAAGAAGGAGGTGGTTAAGATTCAGAGGAATCTCAAAACTACTAGGCAACTTAAATTTAGAAGAGACCTTGAAGACTGGAATAAGGGACCTATTTTTGACTTAACAAATAATAGAAGGAGGAGCCGTTCACTCCAGAGACGATTTACTCCCAACCGTGGCGGTGCCTCATCCTCTGAGAGTGATGAGAATTCATCTAAATAATTGGTCTCTTTTTATAAGATCCAGTCTCCTACAACCAAGCGACCAGACATCAATGGGAAATGAACAAAGGTATATTGGTAGACAAGGGTCAAGGGGAGGAAATAGAACATTAGACAATATAGACATATTAAACTCCTGCAAAAAGGTCTTTTTCTTCCACTGCTCATATGGATGAATTTGAGGTCTTAATTTTCTCCTTAGGAAGATCCTCTTAAAAACTTTTTTTAAAGAACCATCAGAATCAGAGAGGCGGCAAGAAATTTTCCTGAGTGATACAGAAAGACAGGCACTAAATGATTTGCTTAGTTTCTTAAATGAATATGCTGAATTGAGGAGGACCCAGCCTCGTTGCCTATAAGAACAGTTGATTTGAATATTAAGTCCACAAAGATACCTTCCTTACAGCATAATAGGTGGGTGAGCTTATTCTTGGAGTTGGTACAGAAAGATCTCAAAATGGTTAACTGATCCTTTAGGTTTAACAATAATCTCTCTAAAGACGAATGGAGAGCTCTTAATGAGCTCAACAATGCCCCCAATATTGTGATTAAAAGTAACAACAAAGGTGGCAATGTGGTACTACTTAATGACTCTGACTACGTGGCGGAGATAACAGGAAGAAGGGTCAGCAGCACACCAAAGGATAGATGAATATAGTGTGTATTTATTGATCCATAGGACACACAAAACACCAGGACATGAATACAGGACTTGTTAATACGTTTCACACGATCTCGTGCTTAATCATAATTTGGTTATGATTAAGCACGAGATCGTGTGAAACGTATTAGCAAGTCCTGCATTCATGTCCTGGTGTTTTTGTGTGTCCTATGGATCTATACACTATATTCATCTATCCTCCGGTGTGCGGCTGACCCTTCTTCCTGTTGCATCGTGTGTGGTGGCGAGCCAGAGCCTGCACCTGTCATGGATTGATCTGGATTGTTTGCCTGAGCGGTATACCTTTTGTTCTTTGGATACGTGGCGGAGCTGCAAAGACAACTGGGGGATCAGACAACTTATCTAACATTACCACAGAATTAGTTTACCAACTCAATTATAAATTACAACTGGGTTAGAAGGCAAGCTTACTCTCCAAGAAGATCCATGATTACCTGAAGGTTGAGACATATAATACACCAACCTTTTATATTGTTCCTAAAATTAATAAAAATCCAACTAAACTACCGGGGAGACCAATAGTGTCAGCTGTTAATGGTTCCCTTGAAAGGTTAGTAAATACTTGGATAATCTTATTAAAGGTATGGTAGTCCAACTATTATCGTAGGTACAAGATACGAGAGATGTCCTTCTCAGGATATAGGCGTTGGAGATCGCTCATTGGGGCAGATGTGGAGTCTCTTTATACCTCCACATCCCAGGATTGTGGTCTCCGGGCGATGGCTTATTTTCTTGAAATTCATTATCCTAACCTGGGTGCCCAGAATGAATTTATTTTAGAATTGCTTAACTCTGTGCTTTCCACTAATTTCTTCCAGTTTTTCGGAATGTACTACCAACACGTAAGGGGCATTTCAATGGGTGCCCCCTGGGCTCCAGCCAGGGGTGGACTGACAACTCATGGGGCTCCCGGGCAATAGGGGATCATGGGGCCCGTGTCCTTTCCCAAACTCAAAAAAGCCTATGAAAAAGGTGCCAGGGGCATCTCATGGGGCCCTCTACTGACCCCGGGCCCTCGGGCAGTGCCCCTAGTTTCCAAATGGTCAGTCTGCCCCTGGCTCCAGCATATGCCAGTTTACATCTGGGAAAATGGGTGTTAAATGTCGTGTACCATTCTCGCTTGAACCTGGCCCACGCAGTGCCGTGGATCAGGTACATCGACGATGTCCTTATGGTTTGGACAGGGTCAGCTGAACAACTACATATGTTAATGACAGAACTGAATCTCAATGAACCTAATATTAGACTGACTTATAATTTCCATCATAAGGAGATTCCGTTCTTGGACCTCTATCACCATAACGGAAGGCTTTCTTTGTACTAGAACGTTTAGAAAGGATAAAGCAGCCAACACTTTCCTCCACGCAAGTATCCATCATCCGGAACCTCTGAAAAGGGGGATTCCAATAGGCCAGTTCCTCCGTATTAGGAGAAACTATACTCAGTTTAAAGAATTTAGGAATGAGTCCAATCAGATGTATAAAAGATTTCGGGAACGAGGATATCCCCAAAATGTCCTGAAGCTAGCCAAAAAACAGGCATCTAGGAGAGAACATAGTACTTTACTCCAACAGTCAATGAAGGCCTCTAATAAGGATGCAACTTTGGGCCCCACACAATTTATTACCAAATTTCGTTCTCAATGGGGGGAGATAAGGTCTATACTTTCTCAACATTGGCATGTTTTGACTTCCAATCTGGTAATTGCAAAAATTGTCGGCCCTAAACGTTCCATGGTGGCCAAACGAGCAAGTAACTTAAAAGATATTCTGGTACTTGGAATTTACTAGAAGATCTTTCTCTAACTAGCCACCATATAGTACTGGTATGTTTCCCTGTGGACACTGTTCTATCTGTCCGTTTGTTGAAAAGACTAAGGTGTTCACCAATGCGGATCGTATGAGGACCTATGATATTAAGTACAGACAGGGTACTTTACATGATTGAATGTCCCTGTAAGAAATGTTATGTGGGTAAAACAAAAAGATCCCTCCATGTCCAGATCGGTGAACACTTAAGAGCTATTAGAAGTAACAGTAAACCGAAACAGGGGGAAAAGTGAATCCCTTGGCACTTCACTTTAAAGAAAAACATGGAGGCCTGACCACTTGTCTAAGAGTTAAGGGGTTCTTTAGCCTGAAACTATCTGCCAGGAGAGGTGACTTTGATGAAGTCCTTCTCCAGCATGAAAAACAAGTTTTTCTTTCTGGTTGATGCTGTTACTAATCAAATGCTCCTGGGGCCATTTGATTATTTAATATCTAATTTATGTGTTCTTAGTCCCTGGACCTTTGGTACTCCGATCTAAAGAGGAGGTCCTCATTCTATAGGGGGTTAATATTCTATTTCTAATATAAATGTTTACTGTCTGGGGTACACTCTATGAGTTAATGATTGCTGATCTGTGTCTCCACATTAGTGTTTTCTCATGGTGGACATAGTTATCTGGACAAGGGAGAGTACCGGTCTAATCCTTTATCGGGTCGTGGACTATTTTGCAGTGAGAACGCCATGATAATGGTAGTACTCTGCACGTAAGTGGGAACTTTCACATATACATATCCCCTACTTCACTTAATGAGACTTGGCTACCTGGACTTGGATGCAGCCTTAGTCTCTCAGCCACCTTATTCGCAACTATCGTGGTCCCAAGGTAACTACATGAGACACCTCTCCTGGTCACATCCCATCATCCCTTTACTGAGACTGTTTAAATCAGGCCCAGCAACAATAGCGTTCCTCTGAAGGATTTCCTCCTAAAGGTTCGGAGTGAATGTGTCTTCCTTCAACTAGAAGGAGTTCTACCTTAATGCCAACATTGACTATGGCCTTGTCACTAAGACACAGCCGCACTTGATTGCACTGCGAGTCAGCTCTTTTGGATTATTCACCATTCTCCGCACAGTATATATGAAGGCAGCTGGACTTTTGTTATTATGCTTTTCTTTTTTATATGAATTTCTGCTAATTCATTAATATTGTTAACGAGATTGAGGTTTACAGTTTCTAAACAAGCTCTAATTCCTATATGGCTATATGTTTATTCATTTTCCGCAGCCTTCGCTTTCATTACCAATAATTTGCTGTCCCTTAAGCTATATCCTGACTCTACCTCCTTTACACTGCTAGATGCTCACATTGAATGGGTCATATGCTCCTTGAAGTGGAGGTTTAGAGCCTCGGGATATAGCAATTTTGGGGGCTTGACATGTACTAGTAACATCGAACCCCGGTTCCCTAATTTTTAAAGTGACACCGTTGTCATGTTTTTAATGGTGACGGGTGAAGATATAGTTTAATTTTTTGTATGTGTATATTCATGGCGTTCTACTGTATTGTGGTTTCAATAAAGATATAGTTTCAGTTAAACCACCTGGGTCACCTAGTAGTGCCTTCTTTTCTTTAGGGGCTCTTCCGTAAAAAAACATTTTTATAGTCCAATTTTTTGTCGGGTACCATGACCCGCACCTGTCTGGTGAGTTTAGTGAAATGACTAATAATTTTC